GTTTATTATTAAAAAAAAACTATAATTTATAATTAACATATAATTCTTTCTGTTTATCAAAATTCAATTGTTATTTGATTTTTCATAACTATCAATACAATCAATAATAGATATAAATATAATGTTTAAATTTTTATTCATTATGATATAATTTACATGTTAATTAAGTAGCTTTTTTTTCAATTATATATATTTTTAATGCTATTTGATCTTACTGTTTAAAATGAAATAATTTGTCCTTTTTATTAATTTTATGAATTTATAAAAATAATATATATATATATATATATATATATATATATATATATATATATATTTATTGTAACCCTAGCACAATAATATTTGCTAATGTATTGTTCATGGGACCGATACATTGATATGCATATTTTCTCCCTATCAATATCAATATCAGTATCACATCTGTAAAATATTGTTACGTGAGTGCTACGGAACATTTTTCGTTAGATAATTTAATGTAATTGACAGAATTATTTTTTTAAAAAGAATTATATTGACACTGAAAAATAATAGAAAGATTAAATTAAAAATAAAATAAAAACTAGTTGAATCAAATTATTTTGTCTATACAATATATATATATATATATATATATATATATATATATATATATATATATATATATATATATATATATATTATTTTGTTATAAATATTTATGAAAAGGTTTATGATAAAGTATACTAGTATTATAAAGTATTTGGTATAAGTGTTTTAACAACAAAAATACTAAATAAAAAATACTTTTGAGACAAGTGTATTATGACTTTGTTAAATTTTATCATTTGTCTCAATTTTTTTTAATGACAGCAGATATAATTCGATTCGATTCACCTAATCATTCTTAATTCAATAATTTTCATTAATGGTGATCATTTTATATTCTAGTATAACAAATCTAAGTCATTAAGCTGAACATAGTGATAGGATAATATATAAATTATTTATCATCACAAAATTGTTATTTTTATTTATAAAAAAATTGTTATAATTTTAAAAATTATACAAAATATATCTCAAATTGTAATATATATATATATATATATATATATATATATATATATATATATATCCCAATTATATGTTGGTAAAAATCTTATTAATGTCAGAAAATTATTCTGAAACTAACTGTTTACATATAAAAATACGATCATTATTGTATCCAAAGCACTATAAATATATATATATATATATATATATATATATATATATATATATATCAATTTATATTTAATCATTTTTATAAATTAAATATATTTAAACGATTTTTGAAAAGAATATACTATGTATTGAGTAATAATAATTGAGATTAACACTTCTGGAATATTCAAATATACTTAAACAAAAATTTTAATCCATAATTTTTCTTAATTTAAAGATATGAAGAGCCAAAGTACATTTACTTAAATAATTATTTTACATCCATATTTATTTTCAAAAGACACTTAACAACATAGTCTTAATCCTACTGTTCAATTTCTTATGAATCAATTCATAAGAATTTCTACCATTTTTTTATCATATAATAGTTTAATATATGTAATTTAAATTATCAAATTTATTTATATATATATATATATATATATATATATATATATTATTTGAGTCAATATTTACATTATAAATTTATTTACCTTGGTAAAAAAATATTATCAATAGATAGAAATTTATTACAAATTATATTATCGATAAATATGTATCTTAAAATTGAAAGTTAATAATTGAACGACTATAATTTTTTAATAATAATTTAAAAATAAGTTATATTCATCTAAATATATAAATATAAAATATATAAATATAAATATATTTTGATATATTTATATATTTTAAATATTTATCGATAAATATTTCTATTATTAACTAATTGTTAATTTATTAATAAATATATTTATCAAAAATTAATTATTAATTTATTGATAAATATATTTGTTGATAAATTCTGTCAATAATTTTTGTTAATAATTATTATTTTTTTACGACTATATATTTTTATGTAACTATAATTAATAATTTTTTAAGTGATTCATAGAACATTTATTACCTCCGTGATTAAGTATTGGCTTGGACCAAATCATATAGTTTATCTCGTCTCATTCCACAAATCAGACATTTTTGTCATCACATATTGATTCATTCTTGTGGTTTATTTGATCAAATATCATAATTTGTATCTATACCCCACTTTCTGGATAAGTATACAAGTGTGTGATTTTATTTATTCACTCACGGGAAAAATCTGACAAGGCTTTAATAAGGTTCACTAGTTAAGATTAATTTGAATGCAATCATCACTATCGATCACGAATTAAATTTTACAAAAGCAAATCACGATTTTCCTTCAATGAAATGGTTAGGAATCTGACACTGCATCCATCCATTTATTCATGACAGCACAAACTTGTTTGTTATGTAAACATTTTGCTCACAACAAACAATTTTCCATGTTGATTACGTACTCTCACCGAAAACCAAACCATCTTGATGTACTCTTTCCCCTTCTTCCTTTCCAATACAATTAGTTTGCTTCTTGTTTCTTCTCATGAGTTTCAAGTCACATGTTTAAAGATTTTTTTTCTCAAGGACAAGAGTTATTAATATTTTAACCTTACTGTCAAAGTTTATGATTCATCAAATAAAGTAATTCAATATATAGTTATTTTTTTTATAAATAGTACAAAAAAATTAAAGAAAAAGAGATATAGAAATATAATAATATTGATGCTTGGGCAGCAATAATTGAGAAAAATTGATATACTATTAATTTGGGGGCAGCATCGTGGACAAAGTGGAGCGTGATCACATGTTGTGATAATCTGATAATGGTGCTGCGTACATGATATCCATACGAGTCAGTGCCATAACCACTCGGTTTTATCATCATCATCATCATATCATATAATAGCAAAATAAAACACTTACTCCATAGACATACATAGACCTAAGATCCAATCTCTTTTTCACCACGTATTGCATTTGGACTCTTCTATTAATTATATCCAACCCCTTCTCCGAATTTGGCTAACAATTTGCTTTCAATTTGAGTTCCATGTCTTTCATTATTAATTACACAAATTTGTCTATCCTTATAGTAATCTTTAAATACATGACTTCACATCATATGAGATGCTGAACTAGTCAAATTCTCTTGTTTTCCTTCTACACTTAGCAATCATGTTTTTTTGGTTTTCAAGATTCATTTCTTTTTTTTTTTTTGTTCAAATCTTGGAAGTTGAAACTGAGGGATTTGTTTTTGTGATTTTCATTTTGACTTTGGACTATATGGATTCGCTGAATACTTGGATTAGTAAATTTGGACAATCTATGTTAAAGTGAATCGAGGCATGAAAAATGAAGGACAAGGTTCATGAAAATGAAAATCACTTGAACTGCCACTATTAGTAATAATGACTTACCAGTTCCGGTGCTTATGTGTGCACCACTTTAACTTACTTTAATGGAAAGGATGGTTTTTGGTAGAAGAAGCAAGAAAAGGGGAAAAAGCATGTTATTAGTCATTGTATACTGCAAAGGGTAATGAAAATTATAAATATATTTAAAGATATTTTAAATCTATTATTATTAATATACTTTTGTGAAATCAATTTGTGTGTGGAATTATGTACCACTAGTTATTTACTATATAATCTTTAGGGTTAAAAAATACCATGTTGGAGAGAGATTTTGAATTTTGATGGGGCCAATAAGTACTCCAACTCACATGGGCCTTTATCATGAGTTTTGGGCTTTTACGCTGAAGTTAATTTCTTGGTAAATAAAATACCCACGTTTCGTGCACTAAACGACAAGTGAATACTAGTGTTAACTTTATGACCGTTAAACTATTCGAAAGTAAGCTCCTTTTTTTTTTTGAAATTACATATTTTTCTCTTTAAAGTACACCATTTATTTTATAAGAGCCAAATCTTAAAATATCATGTCTCTTCTTCCGTCGTTCTGCAATTTCCTTTCCATGTTCAAACTTTTTCCTTTTTTTTTTTTCTAATAAGCAACGAATAAATCTTTCATACAATTATTGTACTTTTATTATAATAAATGGAAAATAACATTTTCAAAATAGTTTAGATACTATTTTTATAAAATCTATATAAAAAGTTAAACATAGATCTAAATTGAAAGATCAAAATTAAAAACCCGTATGTTTGAAAGTGCGGAAAAGATATTTTAACGTGCACTGACAATCTCTCCACCCGACAGTGGAGTCCATGAAATGTGGACAGCCATTTGAGTCCGTTCAGAAATCAATTCGTTCCCTTCCCACAACCAAAACCATATCCCATTATTCAACTCAATTTATGTGCCCTTTGTAATATAGTGCTTGGCAAATTGAAAGACCACTGACCCAAGCAATGTTCTTCACTTTTCATGCCCCATTGAAACCAAACCAAGTTTCAAACTATCATAACTCAACGCTCCCCAAGAAAAAAAAAAATCCCACTGCAATTAGTTAGCATCCTATACATTCATGCCATGGATGCCAAATTAGAAGCTTTTTCAAATTATGCAAGATTCTAACATCCAAATGGAGACAACAGCACATTGACACCCCGAATTTGGAAAGGCATCACATTCAAGTATTCATGCAATAAAAGAATATAAGAAGATATCAACAATTCAATAGTATTTCTAAAAGGGAAAATAACCCATGTGGCCATCCATTTACATCACCTAGGCAAATTTAGTTGACTGTGCTGTAGTGAAGAAATATAAAATGAAAGGAGGGTTAAAAAGTCTTGGAAAAAACTTGAGACGACTCACCGCAAAATTACCCAACCTTCTCGATTCTCTAATCAATCATGTACAACAACAATAAAAGAAAAAAAATATATCCCCCTTGGATTCATTTAAAGGATAGAGACTAGAGAGAGAATAAATAAATAAAACACTTGATTTTATTATTATTACTATTATTGTTTTATGAGATATTGATTTGGGTGTGTTTTGTTGTGAATGGCATGAGATTAAGATAGATAGACTTGAACGGTTGAATTTTTAACTGTGAGGCAAACGGGACAGGCCCGAAAATGTGTGTCGCATTGAGCGCAGATGCATAGGTGGCGACACGGCAAAACCACCACCGAAGCCACCCGTTTCGCGCACCCTCTGCATTTCGGACCCACGCGCTCCGGGTCAACATATGCTGACTCAGCATCCTCCGCCTCTCCACCGGCGCACGACAGCCCTCCCCCGCCGTCCTCGCCGCTCATCATGGCCTGCTGCAGCTGCGCCTGCAGCGATGCCGCCGTCGCTTCCTGCGCCTTCGCCTTTGCCTGCCAAAGCTGCGCCTCCACGCTAAGCTGCGCCGCACGTGCCTCCAACTCCGCCATGCGCCGCGTCGCTTTCTCCACCTCCACTTCCTTCTCCCTCAGTCGCCGCAACACCGATTCCTCCGCTGCCCTTAGCAGCGTCCGATAATGTCTCTCCCTCTTCTCCGCTAATGCCCGTCGCAACTGCTCGCCCTGCATAATTCATCGTTATTTTTTAAATTAACAATATTGATAATTGATTATACAATAATGATAGTAATATAATTTGTTCTCATATGTTCAAGCCATGATGGAATACTAATCGTGTATACCACGTTATGAAAAAATAGCTCATTGATCAAATTCCTACTCCATTATTGATAAGATAACTTTTGTATAGAGATTTGAAGAAGAAGGGTACCTGAGCTTGAAGGAATTGGTCAATTTCGCCACGCTGTTGTTTGATTTGCGAGGACAAACCATCGGATAATAGAGATGGGAAGGAAGAGGAGTGACACCCATGTTGTTGTTGCTGTTGTTGATGCAATTGTTGTCTTTGCTGTTGGTCACCAAAGGATAAGCCTAACCCGGTGGAGACTACATTTTTATTATGAAGTTGAGTGAGGTCAATGAGCTGTGGAGATTGCGATCGCAGGGAGAATGAATTGACAAGGTTTGGCGCAGTGGCCTTTGCTGTTGTTGCTTCTCTTCCTCTCTTCCGAGAATTAGCACCTGTTTGATTTGGGATTTTCCAATAGTTTAATAATGCCATGCACTCATGTTGGACAGAGCAGAAGAAAGGGAGAAAAAAAAAATAAAAATAAAAAAACTACCTCCGTTGTTGAATAACATATGAGATTGATCATGATCAAGGAGTTCTCCTGGCAAATAGTCATGTGGTTCTTTTCCGCTTTTGCTGTTGCAAAACATCATTAGTTAAGAATAATAATAGTAATCAGAATTGATTCATTGTGTTTGTGCAGAAGAAGGAGAAAGAATGGATTGAGAAAATCGAAACAGAAATGAAGATGCAAACCTGGTGTTTAGAAAGAGTGCATTGGAGGGGTATTGAGCTTGAACAGCCATGAAGGTTTGAGAGAATGTGAAGGTGGTGAAGGTGAAGGTGAAGGTGAAGGGGGTGAGAGGAATTAAAGGAACAAGGAATGCAAAGGTGAGAGAGAAATAAAGATGACAGCCCCTAAAAGAAAAAAAGATTAAAAATTTTTGATGAGAAGAGAAGAGAGGGAATCAAAAGAAAATGGAAGAAACGGTGTGTGTTGAGAAAAGGGAGAGGAAAGGAAACAGCAGAAGCAGCAGCATCCTGATTGGAGTAGTGGTAGTAGAAAGAGGTGGGGGAAGAGATAGATGCGTTTGAAGCGAATGAGTCCAAGAAAGAGAGAGAGAAAAACACCTTATTCTGCTGCCTGCCCTTTCTTTCTCTTTTTTCTTTGCTTCTCTTCCTCTCCTCCAGTTTATCTTTAGTTGCCTTTTCTTCACACCTACTCTCCCCTTTCCTATTATTGCTTTCCTAATGCCATTTTTATTCAAATACCTTCTCACAAATAAATAAATACCATATACCAATTTTAGTCTCTTTTTTATTTCAACCAATTCTCCTAAACAGTTATCAACAATAATTATTCATTAATACCAAATTACCAATAATAGCAATAATATTATGTGTGGGTTACTGTGTGAATGAAGTTGGTAATTTGGTGATGGTTCTCATCTTTGTTTGCACCTGCCCTTCCTTGCTTTATTCACAACCTTCTACTTTCTTGTTTTTGCCTAAAACACTAAGTTCATGAAAATTATTGTATGATATTAAAATAATAAGTATATGTTTAAGGTGAATGATTCATTAGTAATAACTCACTCCTCTTTCCTATTTCATTTTGAGAGGTCCATGAACTTTTCAAAATATACGTCACTGCCTCGTTTTAAATAATATATCTTTAAGTCATACTGTTTATATACAGTTTGATGGACAATTTACCTTTATCTTTATTATTGTTTATATTAAACCAGTAATTATCTTAGTTTTTAAGAGTTTTTTTTTTTAATCGGTAAGATTTGTTCCTTGGTACTGATTCAAAAAGGTCATCACAATTCGCGATAATAAATGTGGATCACTGAATCATAATACCATGCAATAGTTGGAGAGGATTTAGCAGTTATTGTTATGTTAATCGCTGGTATAAAATATCAAATAACCACTCATTGCATTGATTCTGATTATTAAGACGTTTTAAATAATAATAGTAAAACAAATCGTTTTATGATTTTGATGAGCAAACATGTATAATATATATGTAAATTGCAGCTGAATAACTTGATAAAAAATAGTTTTATTTCATTAAATATACAAGTTTTATATAATTGACTCGAAAATTTGTGTAACGTATTAAACTTGTTTAGACTTAAATAATCAATATAAAGGATATAATTTAATACGAATTTCATATTAAATAATTAAAATGATAACAAATTTAACAGGTTTTTAATAAGTATAGTGGCTGCTGACCTGAATATTAAATAAAAATATATATGAAAAGTTAGCGTGGATAAAACATAACTATATAAATTTATCTGAGTGATATATTTAATAAAGTTTTAAAGTTAGAGATATAATTGTTTAAATCATATGTAATAGTAAAATTTATTTACATGTCAAAAAAAATGTTTTGATGAAATATAAAACTTCATTTTCTTATAAATTGATAAACGGTTCAAAATATTTAAAAATATAATTTTATTATTACATGAATGCTGTATTAACTTTTATCATCAGATATAATTTTGTTCATTTGAACATTCAAATATTTCAAAGTTATTTTTATTATTTTACTAAAACTGGTAATGTACAAACTTGCAATTAACATTTAGAACTGTACAAAATAATTTAATTCTAAATTTTGGTCTAATCATTTTTACTTCGGACCTATTTTTAAGAATAGGTTTGTTAAATTAACGTTAATAGAATAATAATAGATTCTATAAAACCGGTTAAAAAAATATAAAGAAAATAAATAAAAATAGATTTAGATAAAAAAAAAGCACTTTTTAACCTTAACAGTAATTTTTATTTTGGTGGATTATTTTAATTTATAGCATCATATAATTAATATATCCTGTTCTTTAGAAAAATTACTTAAAAAAAATGAAACTTGAAATGAAATCTCAATTTTTCTGTATTAAAATAAATAACGTTCATAAAATCAAAATCAAAGATGGTAAAAATAAATAAATATTAAAATTGAGAATAAATTATACGAAACATCATATTATTAATATTATTAATGAATTAAATCTCGTTTTCTTTTAAAGTAGTTTGGGAAAATGAATTAAAGTTAACTAATACTCTTGTTGTTACTAAAAGAATAATAAAAGGTAGAAAAAAAATATAATATTATTATTAATTTAAAAAAATATATTTATATAATATAAATGAAGGTCTTTGAAAATTACATCTTAAATTGAATGCAAGATATGTTGAAAAAATATGATAAAATTGGTAAGGAAACATTTAAGAGGTTGTGAGCGTAGAGAAGGGAGAGGGTCGGTGATGTTATAATTTATGTGACAATATTTAATGTGTTAATAGGTACAGTGGCCTGCTTCCTTTGCGATGATTATAATGTTAATGGCAGTCACAACAAGTGTTGTGGGTTCCGTTTTTTTATGATGATAATGGCAATGCCACAGAGAACTTGGTGTGGTGTGGTGTGCAGAGTAGAGGAAGACGAAGGCAAATAAAAAAAAGGACTTGTCAGAGGTAGATTACTACTACTACCACTGTAATAAAGAGACCTTTACCAAAAATGAGTTTATTTTCTTTTAATATTTTCAATTAAAACAAATTACAATCACAGATTATTTTTTATATTAAGATTTAGTTTTATTTCTTTGAAGGAGGGTGGTTTGTTCTGTGCCTAGTCAAACTTTGGCGGTTTCAAAATAATAAAGGAGTTAAAGAAGCATATGATAATTATTGGCGTTTTCAGGTGTGTTTTATATTCACCGTCCAAGAGCCCCCAAGGCAGAAAAAGGTATTAGTTTAAAACGATGAGGATATATATATAAATGATCTAAAATTGATTTTCTGGAGTTTTCAATGTTTCTTGGTTAACAAACAAATTATGTCATGCATAGAAAGTAAGAACATAATTCAGGGGCGAAGACGCACAAGAGAAAGCGACTTGTACTGCTACAAGGAAAGGATTATTATTAGCACCACGACTCTGATGCCAACCCAACCATCTTGTGATTTGTGATGACTTTGGTTTGGTTGTAGCTAGCTAGCAAGCATATTAAGCTAAGCTACCTATCCACTCTAACCACTAGTCAGAGTCCAAGCCACTCACCCTTTTGCTTTTTTGGTGATAAAAACAATGTTAATTAAGAAAATAATAACTAGGTTGTCTCCCTTAGAGGTTTGTTAATTATGTTGATGATTGGGAGCAGTAGAGAGGTGAGATGGTGGGAGGGGAAGATTGAAAAATGATCAAACAAGGGATAATTGGCATTATACTCCCCTTGATGCAAACAAGGGAAGCTGCCTTTCAAAACTCAAGTATAACAAACCAATATATGTTGTTTTTTCAACCATGCACCTCCTTTTTGTCCCTTTCCAAATTCTCTTTTTTATTTAGGTTGTCTTCAATTTTAGTGTTTGTTTTATTTTACCAGAAAGTCATATAAGAAAAGGAAATTATTATTTTAAAAATTATAAATAAATAAAAATAAAATAATAATTTTAGAGAAGGTGATTTATAAAATATTATCTTATTTAATATTGTTAACTTTTTTTCTCCTCTTATAAAAAAGGTAAAATACGTAGACTTAATAATAAAAAAATAACATTTTTCTTTATTATTTTTTTAACAAAGTTAAAAGATACCTTCTTTCTCTCCTTTTTTACATGTAATTTTTCATCTTACTCAATGCTTTTTCTTCACACAAATGAAGGTTAATATTTATTCTTAATTTTGGAAACAACACAGACATATGTGCCAAACTTTGCGATTCTTAATTTAAGTAGGTGTTATTTTCAAGGCACTTAAATCATTTTAATGATGATATGTTGATCAAACAAAACAGGCATGCTTTATACCATAAGCACTAAATCCACTCCACTAATTTGACCAAACATAAAAGTTAATTTTATATTAACTTTAATTTTGGAAAATTAGTAAACTTAGTGTGTTTTGCGCATACTTTATTTAGACAACAGATTTCATAATTTGTTTGTTTTACATAATAACTTCATATTAAAACATATATTTTGATATATAAGATATATTATAATTAAAATGCGTAATGATATATATCCTTAAGTTTAAATTATATATTACCATATAATCTTTTTTTTTATCTATTGACAACTTACATAATATAAAATACAAGTAAAAATAAAAGATAAAATGAAATAGAGAAGAGATGAAGAAATAAATTATGAGACTATCAAAGTACTTTTTGTTGAAAAATAATCCTCTGAAACATTATCGTTCAATATAACTATATTAATCTACTTTATTTTAGATATAAGGACCAGAGTTTGAAGAGTCAATCTAGTGTTCCATTCCCTTTTAAATTTTTATTTGTTCAACAATTATGATTTATAATATGATTTTTTACTTAATTAATAAAATAAAATAAGATGTGTACTAACAATTTAAAATTTCTACACATTTATTCAATTGCAAATATATATATATATATATATATATATATATATATAATATAATATAAGAATTGATGATAAATATTTATTATTTTTTAATTTAAATAAATTATTATTTTAGATCATTATATTATAAAAAACTAAAAATAAGTTTCTATTCTACTACTATTATTATAATAATAATAAATTTATTTACTTATATAACTATTTAAAAATCAAACTTAAGGTAAATGAAAGAAAAATATAAGAAGAATGGATGAGTTATGTTTTTATTTTCAAATTCTTTTACAATATATTATTTATTATGAAAAAAATTAATACATTGACAATAAATTGAACTTTCAACAGGACTAAACAGAAGCATTAAGTACTTCAATGAGATACTTAACCAGACAAGACAAAA